TGGTACTTGCGGTGTTCTTCACCAGCCTCATGACCCACATGCATCCATTCTTCTTCAGTGGTCTAACGCTTGCATGCAGGTGAGGCGACTGAAAATATGACTTGGATCAGGTGCAGAGGTGTCCTCAAAGTCACCTCTTTGCTCTTTACCCCTGTAAGATGGCTTGCCCAGCAGATTTGCCCTGGTATCAGAGTGGTTCAAATGGAACCGTGTCTGTAATATGTCTTGCCCTTCTGACTGTTCACCAGCTGTATACACGTGGCAGATCAAATAGTAGTGTGCACATTAAAAGAAACCACACAAGCCACTGCTGCTAATCCATCCTAGTGCGCGGGGACCTCGTGGGTGCTACAGAGTGGAACTCTTCCGTGGGATTTTCTTGGCTGTGATCTTTCCCAGGCCTTTTGGGCATGGGGCCACTGGGTGATTTGGAACTTCCAACCTTGATGTTAGGAAATCCAGTCGAACACAAACGTTTTGCACCCCCAGGGACCGAGCTCATCCTTAGTGCGTAATAAAGACTCAGGTGATTGTGTGTGCTGCCCTCTCCCTCTCCTTCCTTCCTGATCATCTCCCAAGGGAGGCTAGGGGGAATCGGTGGAAGAAGCCTTACATGGCCAACGGAGTCTAAAGACTGAGTTGGAGTCCCGTTAGGACCTTTTTCCTAGCCCTTTCTTCCCGGAGTTTCTGTAGCCCCGTGTCTTAATGGGAGATATTATAAAGATCTATTTTGTAGTTTGATGGAGTCGTCTGTACAACCATGTCGGTGGAAGTGTTTTGCTAACTGTGAAGGATTGTATGGTTTGGGAATTTTTTAGGCTCACAAATTAAGGTGTTGTTCTTCCCAGAACAACTGTGTTTTTACCCAGGCCATGATCCTAGGACTCCTCATAGCCCCCCGCCCCCCACTACCACACACTCCCTGTCATCCTCTCCCTTCCCCCTTTCCTTTCCTTTCCTTTCCTTTCCTTCTCCTTCCCCTCTGCCCGTCTCCCCTTCTCTCTCCCCCTCCCTCTGCTTTTCTTTCCACTCACCCCTTTCCCTTCCTTCCTCCCTCCCTCCCTCCCTCCCCCTTCTTCTCCCCCCCTTTCTTTGTTTCCTCCCTCACTAATTTTTTTTTACCTCTAATCATTTACTGACTGAAAATAGCTCATTTTACATCCCCACTATCTCTGGAATCCGTTCACAACTCCTAACCCCTTGGGCACGAACTTCCTTTATTCAGGCTGCTCTCTTTATCCCCAGTGAGCCCTAAAGCCCCCTCCTTGGGTTCTTGGCCTCTGGTCCAGTCTTCTATCCATTCTCTACATTTCCACAGGAAATCTGACCTTGTCAACCTCACCCTTAAAACCCTTCAATGGCTTCTCATGGCCCTCGACTCAAAAGGCAAACATTCTACCGATGTGACTTTTGGACAAGCTGGTGAACTTTACACAACCCAGAAAATAGGAATACTAACATCCACCCAATGAGGTGGGATCCATTCCATGGCCATGGGATTGGGAGGGGCCACTGTGAAGATCTTACGAGCTAATGGTTGGACAGGATTTACCACAATACCTGGCAAGCAATTGGGTGTCAGTAGGGCACCTTGGATGAGTGAATTATTAACTCCAGTGCCTGCCGCTGTTGGTAACCAGTGGTTTTATGAATGAGACCTCGGGGAAGATAGACTTTGCTCTCTCGCAGTGTGTCATAACTTCGTCTTGTGGCGTTACCTGAGTGAAGCGTCACTGGCAAACCCAATTCTCTGTCCGCTGTAAGACAGGAGCGATTAACTTCCATCCCCATCCTTTGAGCTCAGGCCACGATGCCACCTGTCCCTGGTCAGCTTGTGGTACGAGCGGCTGGGGTGATCGTGAAGAGTCACGTTCCTGTCTGAATGGGCCCTGCCTGTGGAACGCGCTTCTTTGCTCTCCGCCTAGGTGTTGACAGGGTTACTCAGAAGGCCTGAAACCGCCCGAGAGGGGAGGAGCAGTCCTGAGGGACTGATGACAAGTTAGCTGGGCAGTTTCTTCTTTGGCTTTCTGACGGAACTGGTACCCTTCGGAATTCAAAGAAGCAAAATACTTGCTGATGGCCAGAGCATTGCTCTTCCCTCTTAGGAGCACCAAGCCCAACATTCCCGGCCTCATTAACCCTTCGGATACCCTAGGGAGGATCCATCTTAAAGATGGTATAACAGGCATAGACAGAGTCACGACGTGTGCACGTTCCTGTTGTCAGGAACTAACTCTGAAATAGACCAAACCGGTATCTTGACTTTCAAACCCCCGTCCTTTCCTAATACCAACACCTCTTGGACTGAAAAAGGGTGTCATGCGTCTCAGCCCACTTCTTCATGTGCCAACCAAAGCTCTACCACGGAGTACATTCCTACTCACAGCAACCCTATACGGCAGAGTCGAAGGGCCCCGGGGGAGGGGGGGTGTTCTGAAGTGGTAACCGTGAGAGCAGAAAGCCTCCTCTTTCTCCAGCAGAGCGGCTAGTGAACGTGAACTGCTGACCACATCACCAGGGCTCTTTAGCCTATGCACCCGAGTGTTCATTAACTGTAGAAAGAGGAGGTTGTCTTCAGGTCATGGTTGGGTTCAGCGTGTTTCAGTGCAACCCAAAGGTGTTTCCTCTGCTTGTCTTTTATTGCATACTTGCTCTGTGAGCATTACCTAGCAACTTTTCTCGGAGTTGGCCAGGGACATAGGAAACACCCGTTCCTGTGCCCATGGCTCAATGTGAGAATCACACGCAATGAGAAGCCTAGAAAGAGGCAGCTGATCCTTCAGGCTGGGGATGTCTCTTGTCCAGCCCTGGTCCTCAGAAGGCTGATTCAAAAGCACAGGACTCATCTAGGCCCCTCACTTCTATTATACTTTAAAATGGGCTTCCGCAGGAAATGAAGCTTCCAATGTGTGCCCCTGGAAGACGATTTTGTTTTGCTTTGGTTTTCTTTTTCCAAAGGATGTTTGGAAGGTCTCTATTAAACTTGTGGTTGGACGATAATGAACTTCAGTATCACTTGTGATATCTGCAGCCAAATGTACCACCACTAAAGTATAAATATTGGTTCTTTTGCAGTCAATATCTACAGAACAGTAAGCGAAAGAGCCGGCCTGTGAGTGTCAAAACATTCGAAGATATCCCGTTGGAAGAACCAGAAGTCAAAGTAATCCCAGATGTAAGTGCATCTTTTAAAAATAGTCTTAGAAATAATACAAAGGATGAAATATTAGCTAGATAAATATTAGCCTAGGTATTAGAGTCTCGCGGCCTCATTATAAGGCTGTGCTTAAAGGGAATGCCCTGAGGTCATTTGAGGGGTGGAATTTATCAGGCCCTCTTGTTTTTTCCATTAGAAAATACTCTAGTTCAAGGTTCAAGATAGTCTCGACTTATCCAGAATCTCATTCAAGAGCAAAGAATAGTATGGGGAGAAACGATTGGAATTGGGTTTCCTCAACATCTCCTTCCTAAAAGCTTCTTGTGCTCCAGACACCATCTCCTTTTAAGAGGCAGCTGGTGCTTACACCAGGCCTAGTTTGGATACCGTGACCTGCCTCTGAAGGATCAAGGAGACCTGGGGGTGCAGTGGTTAAGTGCTAACCCAAAGGTTGATCGTGTAAACCCACCAGTGGCTCTGTGGGAGGCGAGACATGGCCGTCGGCTCCCATGTGAGTTGCGCCTAGGACACCCTCTGAGGCAATTCTCCCTCTGTTATCTAGGGTCACTATGAGTCGGAATTGACTCGAAGGGAAACAGACATTAAGATATCAGTTTGATTAAATAATTGGTTCTAGTGTATACACTCATCAACGGTGCCATTTTAAATTGTCTTTTAACAAGGACAACCAGACGGACAGTGGTATGGTGCTGGCGTCAGAAGAGCTGAAAACTTTGGAAGACAGAACCAAATTAGCTTCATCCTTTAGGTAAGCCAGACAGAGAAGACAGAGTTCAGTAGAGATTTCAGGCTTTCCAACCCAGGTGCACGGTTGCTCTCAGTGTCTTCCTTGATTGGGCAGACGGGCATCCATCGAACAAGTAGAGAACTGGAACAAAGCCAACAAAGACATTCAGTGGCATGCCTGAAAAATCATCAGAAATAAAGGAGTGATCTCGATTGGTTTTTATGAGGACAAATGAAAGCTAGGGAATTTCTGAGCATGGGTTTTTATGCCAAGCGTGATACCAAGAGGCATCTGAAGCTATCAATATCATTGGCTATGATCACTAATGTTATTGAGATGGTTGAAACCATCGTGGACACTAAATAATTTTCAAATCTGTACATTAATTGGTGCATCAGCACTTCAGAAATGCTATATGTAAGTAAGCCAACTTCCATTTGCTTAGAAACCTACGTATCATTGGCTGTATTATTTCAGTTAACTATGGGAATAAATTCAATTTGGATCTAATTGCTTCAAGTTGGCCCAGTAGAAATTTCCAGTTGCTTTGACTAGGTGTGCTTACTTTGAGAAAAACAAACAGATGGAAATCTGCATTTATAAACACCATAAAATATAGATCAGTTTGTAAAGAGTTCACTCTTAGGGAAGAATAGAGAAAGGTTTGGTCTACTTATAATCTAATTAAAGAGCTCTGTTAGCATGGTGGGTTCTATGTTGGGCTGCTAACCACATGGTCAGCTGTTCAAAACTACCAGCTACTCC